TATAAGTGGAAGGATCCCAGACTTTGAAGTCAGACTGACCTGGGTTCAGATCCTGAGTCCACTACTCACCAGGAATATTATTTTAAATCTAGAAAGTTGCTTTCCTTCATAGTAATGTGTGAGATCACTTCTACCTTTCTAGAGATTTGTTGTTATTAAAAGTGACAGCAATAGACTTAGTATGGTGCCTTGTTAAAGTGCCAGGTAGTTGGCATATTATAGTGATTTTTAGTTTTCAATACTTCACAGTTTTGATGTCATTCAGTGGCCAGTGGAACTTAGTGTGATGAGTGAAGAAAATAGTGTCCTAAGTATTAAACAAAAGAAGAAATCAGAGTAGCTAAGAATTTGTACAAAGTTTTATGCTGAAGTGGTCACAGAATCAACACTATAACCTCTAATATAGATTAGCAGATCTGGGACACTATTCTCTACTCATCAAGAACTTATAGCTTTATACTGTTGGTAAAGAAACAGCCCAGAGATCAAATAGCTTCCCCAGAAACCCAGACCTCACCTGACATCCAGGCTGCTCATCTCTTCTGGGTTATACCATTTCAGTGACCACTTTAATGGCCAAAAGAGTTTGAAAAAGAAACTTTAAGTTAATTAGTTCATAACTAATGGAACTCAGCACAACAAATAATTTAAATTGTATGGACATAGCCAATATTTTAAAAGTTTAATAGCATTGGCGTTTCAGGGCAAAAACCCAACACAATATTTGCAATATATTTTAATGGGGGCATAGTTCACATTTTAATAACCTGGCTACTAAATGATAGTCAAAACTCAATAATGTGTTTGTGACATAAGTGTGTTCGATGACATTTTTCCATACTTTAATCCATCATTTTCCTTCTTAAAATATGTTTCTCAGGATCCTAAGAGGAGTTTATAGAAACAAATTTCTATTGGGAAAAATACTGTTGTAACCAGTCGCCTTGTTCTATGAGCACCCAGTTTTCTAGCATCAACTAAATCACTGCAGTTTCCTGCAGCATAAAAATCTACCAAGTGCAGTGGAGGGTTACAATGTCAAATCCATTTTCCTGGGTCTCCTCAAAAATCCCAAAACCTTGCTCCACGGAAGAGGTACCTCTCAGCCTCGTCCACTGTTTTGAAATCTTCAGGTTTCAGAAATTCTCTTTAGACAGAAATCTTTATGTTGGGCAATTCATGTCCACCAGTGGTCCAGCCTCTCCTACCTGTCCTTACTCCCATGACCATGCCCATGTCTTGTTTGGCGTGGCTGAGGGAACCAGGCATCTCTGTGCATCAGGCTCTTGGAGTGATATAGCCACGGCAGCTGCATATCACCCCCTAACAAAGGGATCAGAGAGGCGAGTTTGCAATGCTTCAGCTTTTCATTCAGCCTCTCTCATTCTCAACTGGCCTCTCTTCGTTTCCTTCCGCCTCTGACTACCTAAGCCAACTCTTATTTTCATGGTTGACTTAGTCGAATGTGTTTACTTTCCTTCGTAGTGTTCGATTATATGTTTTGGGGAAAATACTGGAAAACTGAAGTTAACTTGAACTCAAACTTTGGATAACTATAAAGCCCTGTGTGTAATTACAAAGCATCCTGAGCCTGGCTGTATATCATTTTTTGTTTTTCCTGCATTTTTTAAATCCACATGCGTTTTTAATTACTCAGTTAGCAGTTACAGTGGGAACAATTCCAAATGACTTGTATTTTACAGATGGAGATTCTGGGGTCCTAAATTTATGGCCGATTGCACTGTCCTGGAGACAGGGTGGAACCACAGCCAGAGCCCCTGGGACTCACCGCTGAAAGACTGCATCACTTCTCCGTGGAGTCCTCCTCCTTCTCCTTACTTTCTTTTTAGGTAAGGATTATCTTTTTATTAAATCATAAAATGAGCATCATGTTGGCAGTAAATGAATTATTAGGTAAAGTCCTATCTATAAAACTTGGCTTCTATTCATTCCCTCTCTGAGCCCAGTGGAACAAAATGTCCAAATTGAACCCTGCAATCTTCCCACAGGTATTCATTCTGATATGCAGCTCCTTTATTTTTTAGCCATTCTTCCTTTGGTCTTGCAGACAGGGTTAGTGGCTTATGTGTTATTTTTCAGACCATGTATTAGATCCATTTATATGCCTGTCTTTGTGCTCAGACTCTGGCTCAAAGCCATGATAACGACTAAAGAATATGAAAATGCTCAGAGAACATGAACTTTTTGGCAAAGGATTAGGGAACTGTGTAGATACCCAATGACTTTGTCTGTGTCTATGGAGGGAATAGAACGAATCAGAAATAAGAGTCCCTTTTGGGCCTGCCCAATTATATCATTCTGATCAAAGTCAGGATCCCATAAAAGGAGTAAAATTAATTTTCCAGTTTCATTGAGATCCCTTTGCTTTGCCCAAATCAGCCTAAACGGCCTTAAGTGTCTGGAATGGTGAGATGACTCAATCCCCAACTTTATCATATTCATTCAGCCTAAATTCTGCTCATAAATCCACTAGTTCAATATTTTATGCTAACGAAAACTATTAACATTTTGCATTTTCTCCCATTACAAAAGTTTTCATACAGACCTCAACATTTTGACTGCAAGATGTAAAATTTTGATATTGGATCCAAAGGAAGGTAGGGAATTTAGATAGATAGATAGATAGATAGATAGATGATAGATAGATAGATAGATAGATAGATAGATAGATAGATAGATAGATAAATGATCGATCTTGTCTCAATACCATCTTCATTCAACTTGGTTTTTGGTTTACTGAGCTGTATAAATCAGCACTCTGCCACATCACAGAGGGATGGAGGGCCTTAGCCACCATGGTCTGAGAACCATTGTCAGGAAGCATTGGACTTAGCTTCCTGAACGTCAGGATGTTTGCACCAGCTCTGACAGGAAGTTCACTGAGTGATGGCAAAAGTTCCCTGAGTGATGGTAGAAAGCTTGCAAAATAGCTTCTGAATTCAAGCAACCAAAGAGGCTGTTTCCCCTCCTTCTGTAAAGTGACACTGTTAGTAGAACACCATCAGATGGAGGAGGAGGGTGTGTGGGTGCTGGATTCTGTGCAGCTAGAAATCTGGTAGGTAGGTCCTGTTTAGTCTGTGCCAGAAGCCAAACAGGCCTCAGAAAGGGAGTTCAGGAGTCTTAGCTCCTGGTGATTTACTCTGACTTTCCTTTGTAAGCATATGGATTCTATTTTCTGCTGTCTCTATAAATACTGCTGTGACTGTCTCTGCCAAACCAGCTACCTTTCTCACCCCAGGGAGAAGCCAGGGATCAGACATTCCTATGCTACCACCCCATTAGACACTGCTGTAACACGAGGGAGCAGAGCTGGCAGTCAATATGATGTGTGTATTTGAATCTTTAAAGAGCTAGGCTAAACTTAGGGTCAGTGGACTACCATAAATAACCTGTGTTCCTCTCTCTTTGTGTGGTTTGCCCTGGAATGCCTTGTGCTTTAGTGTTGTACAAGCAGCAAGAGATCAAAGAGTCAACCTTTTATGGATGCATAGTTCATTACAAAGTCATCCGTGGGAGGATACCCTGGCAAAAGCACTAATCATTCTCTCCTGTGACTGTTTTGTTGCCTGAATTGGGATTGGAGGGCAGTAAAAGAACTTGCAACCACTTTAAGTCATTTTAAAGAATAAAATGAAGATGGAAATTCACTTTTAAAGGAGGGCCAAAACTTAACTGGCACCTTTTTTGGGTATAGAATGTGGTAGGAGGAAATAAGAAGTAAAGGAGTTGACCCACTACCACATGGAATGCAGTTCGAGAAGAGCAATAGCAGGCAGAACAGAATCCTGTGTAATTTACTTACCCTTGGGTAAGCATTAAGAGAACCTTTGATAAGCAGAGCAGAACATCTACAGAGATTTTTTTTTTTAAGCCCAAACTAGATAATGTATCTGAAAACCAGACTTGAAACTAGTTTGCTAGAATATAAAGAATAAATGTGTTTCAAATTTTAACACTGACGATATTGCAAACCCAGGATTGTGGATAATCACAATGCTACCAAACAATAGTTACTATTTATTCGATGTCTGCTGCATGCCACATGCTGTGCAGTGTGTGTGATATCTTTTCATCTCACAGCCGTGCACGGGGATGATGTGTTGGTATCACCACATATACACAGGGAAACAGGACCCTGCGAAGTTGAAGTGCTTAGCTCAAGATCACATGGTCACTAAGCGGTAAGGCCAGGATTTGAACCGAGCTCTGGAAGGAAGTGGAAATGACTATCACTTAGCCTGTAGTTAATATTTCTGGCTCCTGACACTTTTTCTAGTCTCTGTTGCAGGAGTTGTTAGAACTCTTTTGTTTTCTGAGCTTGGGAGTTTTGCTCTAAAGACATACTCTGTGATTAAGACTTACTTTGTCTGAGCTGACTGTGTATCTGTATGGGGTCTCTGTCCTTGTGGTTGGCCATAGGCAGGCAGACTTAATCACTGATACTTATAAAACATATTGCATAGCTAAGACCTTTGATCTGGCATTTTGGAAGTTAGGGACTGGATATCTTATAAAAGAATGTCTGTTGCATGCTCGATCAATTACAGTGATAGCTAAAGAAGCATTTTCTCAAATGTATTATTTTAACAGGAATCATGTTCTAGTTTCCCATTCTTTAGGTGACTTTAAGTTTAATAAAACCTGAACTGTATGAACCTTTAAAAAAAAATGACCGAGTAAAATGCAAAAAAAAAAAAAAAAAAAAAAAAAAAAAAAAAAAAAAAAAAAAAGGCAATAATTACAGTCAGTAAAGTCTCAATGGCTCTGTATCCCTCAGAGCTTCTGTTCTTATCATAGATAAAGCCTGAATCACAGAGATGCCACAAGATCAAATGACTAAGATGACTGGAAAACTACAATGCTCTACAAATGTTACCTTCTCTCTGTCCTCAGTGATACTACCTTTTGTTCAACCCATCTCTTCCTGCCGTTTTAAAATAAAAAGGTTTTTAAAAGTCAGAAACAAAAGCAAATAACTGATCGATTCTTTTTTTTTTTTTTTTTACCAATTTCATAGCAATTGAAAACATCATCCAAAATACTGTAGATCTTTCCCCCCTTCAAGTTTTCTTGAAAGATTTCACACGTGCAGTGTAAGAAATTGTGAGTCAGCCTTCTCCAATCCTGACTTTAAGAGTTGCAAAAATCATCTGCCAGGGATCACATATGTTCTTGGTTCCATGAGAGGAAGAAAACACATTTGCTGGAAGAAAAAAAAAAAGGAAACTTTAAAACCAGTGGAGTTAGAATAAAGACACTTGCATTCTGCTAACTTCTTTTCCTCTCCAGGGCCTGAAGGCTTTTCTAGCCCTGGACAGGATGCGAGGTGTCTGTCACCCCAAATACCCCCTTTCTGGGATGGGGGCATCAGCTGGTCATGGAAGGGAAGCAAAGGAAGTACAGAATGACCAAAAGATGAGATTAGAATGCAGAAATAATAAATCGACAGCAACTACTTTTTGAAGACAGTATACCTAGCTTCCATAAGTCCAATCTCTCCTTAAGACCTTGAAACAATCTAGTATGATTTCAATCTGCAGTTGAGACATGACCTTTAGCAGACTAAGGCACTTGGCTAAGGCCACACAGCTATTGAGCCAGGAAGAGAAGAATCCCAGAGCCTGTGAGTGTAGTATTTCATATGTGGCATTACCTATGAGATCTCCAGAACATCAGATAGGTATTTCCATCTAAGAAATTGTCTTCAGCCTGGCACAGTGGCTCACGCCTATAGGAGGCTGAGGCAGGAGGATCACTTGAGGCCAGGAGTTTGAGGCCTGCCTGAACAACATAGCAGGACCCCATCTTTATTTTAAAAAATTTGAAAATTCACTAGGCGTTGTGATGCATGCCTGGAGTCCCAGCTACTCAGGAGGCTGAGGTAGAAGGATCACTTGAGCCCAGAAGTCCAAGGCAAACGTGAGCTATGATCGTGCCACTGCATTCCAGCCTGGATGGCAGAAAGAGATCTTGCCTTAAAATTAAATAAATAAAATTGCCCTTAACAAAGCAGAGAAAGAGCCTCCTAACACCCTAAAGCGGCAGATTACTGGCAAGTACTCCTGCCTCCATGTTAATATCACAAAAACCAGATTCAAACAACTTGTGAGTTTCTCTTGAAACAAAAGAAATCAATTACAGGGGAAATGGAACTCTCAACTGAGCACCTTGACTTAAATTAAAACTCATTTCATAATGCTTTGCCCTTCTTCAACCCTCACTGAAGCAGTTCTGTTCTTCAGTAATTGGTATAGGGTTGTTCTCGTGGGTTGGCAGTCAGCGTGTTTTTATTTATTAAATGGTGTAAGTAAAAATTGATGTGATGGAACAACCGTGGTAGCTTCCACCATAGAACAAAGGCTTTTCTAAACCAGCATTTCTCCCATAACATCTGGGTAGATGTTTCATGTGGGTTTTCCTTCCCCAAGTATCCAATGGCATGATTTCATGTTAAGAAGGAAATGACAGTGACATTTCATTTGACCAAGAAAAAAAAAAAAAGGAAAGAAAGAAACCTTTCTACATTTAACAGAACCCAAAGGCAACTTGAAAAACACTTTGAAAGCTTATTTCCATTTTACGATCTAAAGCAGACCTAAGGTATATCTGTAGACAGGTGGTGCTGCTTGCAGCTCTGTTGTGAGCCTTTATGAAAAAGATTATGTTGACTTTCTGAGAATATTTCAGGATTCAGCATCACAAAGTCCTCCAAAATGGTGGTTTTAAACTCCAATTGAAACAGGTGACAATATAAATCCTAAAGAACCAAGCCAGGTAAACCTAGGATCTTGGCTTCACGACCCACGTCCCACCTCCCACCTTTTGAAGCCCAGGTCATTCTTGCAATTCTCTAAGACCTTCTAAGCCCATCCTCACTAGCCACAGCCTGGGGCTTCCTTGATCCTGCTAAAACTGAGCCAAGAAGCAAAAGCTCAGTGAGTGTCATTTTGCATAGAACTATTAAGCAGGATAAAGAGAGGAAGAAAGGCATTCCCCAGTCACAGAAAAGCAGGGTGTCTGATTATAAGATAGCAGTCTCTTCCTTCAAGGCTAGTGGGTCAAATTCTCCCTTGTGCCTTTGAATGAGGGATTTCCCCTAAACACAATACTGAAGTTTGTGTTAGTTGTTGGAACCCTGGAGTCGGGGACTTTTATGAAGGCAGAACTTTCAGTGGAAGCTGGAATATAATGCATATTATAGTGAACTGCAACTTAGAAGTACCCTGTAGAGACAAGAGAAGCCAAGGTTTGTTTGTTTGTTTGTTTGTTTGTTTGTTTGTTTTAAACACAGCTTTAACAAAAATTTAAACTTTGGTTGGATTAAGCTATTACTGATTTCATGCCTCTGTTGGTAGAAAATACACCTTTTTAAAAATAGAACTATTTTGGGGGCATCACAAATAACATTCTAATTCATAATGTTTTTATGATTTAAATACAGTTGACCCTCATTACATGTGGATTCTGTATCTGCAAATTCTAATACTCATTAAAATGTATTTATAATCTTCAAATCAGTACTCATGGTGCTTTTGCTGATAAGCACAGAGTGACAATAAACTTGGCTCACTGAAAGTACATTGTAAACAAGTGTCCCTTTCACGATCTATTTAATGCCATATTTTTTGCATTTTTATGCCTTTTGCATGTTCAGTGGTGATTTCACTGTTTAAAAATGACCCCATAAGCAATGTACTGAAGTACTGTCCAGAGTATCTAAGCACAAGAAGGCTGAGATGTGCCTTACAGAGAAAAAATATACTTGTTAGATAAGCTTTGTTTGGGCATGAGTTATGGTGCTTTTGGCCATGATTCAATGTTAATAAATCAAAATATATATATTGAATATGTACATTATTTCAATATACATCAGTATATATTAATTATATATTGATAAGGTGCCTTTAAGCAGAAACACACATTAAACAAGGTTATGCATTAATCAGTGGGCAAAAACCAAAGGCTCATGGGAACCAAGTCATGTATTTCCTCTAGGAGCCATGATTCAGTATTTGCTAATTCAGTGTCCATGACAATGTTATAGATCATAATTAGTGTGAATAACAGAATCGACTGCATTTGATTGAAAGCTCTGTGCCATCTTGTTACTTGAGTGGCTCTGTTGTGTGTGGGCACAGTCTCCACTTATCTTTAATGTGACTCTGAAATGTCCTGCTCTGTTCGGGACCAGGTTTCAGGTAAGTTAGGAGTTACATAGACTGGATAAGAATCCAAATAAATATTACACCTGAGTCAAAGAATGGGAAGCCAGTTCCGGAGTGTGGTGAGAGAAGGGAAACTTGGCCATGGGCTACAGGAAGTGCCGCCATATGAGGAGGAAAGTAAAGGCGTGGAAGAAGCTGAGGAGAGAAAACCAAAAGTAGAGGGAAAGATGTGTGTGCTCACAGTGATGCTGAGAGTCAGCACCTTAGATGATGCTCTTAACTATGGGATGTGTCACTGTCTGAGAATATTCAACATTACTCCTTCCACCAAAGTATGGAACAGCAAAATTAACATATATGCAATGTCATTTGTTATACTTTCTTTATAGGCAGTAGGTGAGATACCAGCACATTCTGCAGAGCTTAATGACATCATTTTAATGTAAATCGAGTCTGTTTATTTGTTTTTCCTGTTTCATATAAGGTTATGATTTTTTGTCTCCTAGCTACCCAGAAAAGGCCATTTTGATTTTGGATAAATAGTATCTGTAGAAATGTGTTTCTTAAATAAAGAGTACTTGCATGCACTTAAAGTTAATGGACTTTAATAATTATTTAATATGCTGTGGCAGGAAAGATGTTTTTGCTAGCTACCATGGAGAAACTATGTGTTCTCATATTCATGCATAAGGTAGTTTGTTTTATAGGCAGAAAAGAGAGTTTACAATTTGAAATAAACAAATCACTGCTTTAAACAGTGTAGGAGAAAGTACACTACTTCAAAAATAATTGCTTGTTTATATGCATTTGCTTGTTGGAAACAAAAGACCGAAATGAGAGCTCCTTTATCATTAGTCTGCTATGTGAAAAAATGAGAAAGTGCATATAAGGACCCAGAGCAGTAGAGAGAATTTCCCATAATGCCATGTGGACATGATAAATTGTACCATTTTGCCACTTAATGATATATTAGATCAATACAGCATCTAGCTCATGAGCTTCAGCTAGAAATTTCAAGTCTGATGGAAAACAATTTTTTTGGTATCTTAGGAAAGATTCTTAAAACTTTGGAAAAAATTCGTGTTTTTGAAATTTGGCCAAGTTACATCTTCACACATGAAAAATGTACTATATTTTTCTAGGAGTTTGAAAATCATTTTGAGAACTGAGAGCTTTTCTAAGCAGCATTAAAACCACATTGAATTGCTGTTAAAGGGTAATAGTCATACCCTTTCATATTGTTTGGAGAATTAAACAGAATAAAGCACATAGAAAAATTAATACAATATCTTTGATCAAAAATATTATAGTAATATTCTTGGTACAGTAAATGTTGGCCCTAAAGTAGCATGTAGTTATCAAAATTGGCGTAAACAAAGTATCATTTTCCGTTGGCTGTCACTGATACAATCATGCCACTCTTGGAAACTGATAGAACCAACAAAGTAAATGGCAAAAGAAATGAAATGTTGAGGATGACAATAATGCTTTCCTGATTTCTCCAAATCGCTTCCTATAAAGGGCTGTACAATGAGATTGCTTAGTCTACATGTGTATCTGTTTTATTCATTGGTGATTAAAATTAACTTTTTAACAAGGAACCTCAAAATATCAGTAGCTTAAAACAATAAAGGTTTATTGCTGATGTGATCCTTCCATAAGAATGACGTGGCTCTTCTTGGGGTTTCACTTAAATCGTTTCTTCCATGTTGCGGCCTCCACAGTCTTAATAGAAGAGAAAGATTTTATATGATTGTTAGGGAGATTTATGGCCAGGTCTAGAAATGCAACGTAAGGCCAGACACTGTGTCTCATGCCTGTAATCCTAGCACTTTGGGAGGCTGAGACAGGTGGATCACCTGAGGTCAGGAGTTCAAGACCAGCCTGGCCAACATGGTAAAACCCTGTCTTTACTATAAATACAAACTTAGCCAGGCATGGTGGCGGGTGCCTGCAGTCCCAACTTGGGAGGCTGAGCCAGGAGAATTGTTTGAATCCAGGAGGCAGAGGTTGCAGTGAGCTGAGATCATGCCACTGT